TTCTCCACGCAAGGTTTCAGCGTGAAAGGAACATCTTCCTGGATGGAACAAACCATTCTTCCATTTTCCCCAGAGTCTCGATCTTGAACGCTGAAAAGAGCTATTGTAGTTTCCGGGAAATTTTCTGGGATGGAGCTTACAAATGAAGCCACCGTTAATTCTGGGGCGTTGTCGTTTATATCCACCACCTGTATTATGACAGTGCATTTTCCAGAAAGACCTGCCCCATCAGACGCCTTAATATCCACCTCATATGACACAATTTTTTCAAAATCTAGTGTCCTAATTATTTTAATTTCTCCCGTTAGTTCATTAAGTGCAAATGTCCTAGTAATTTCTTCATCACCAGAAAAAAATGAGTAGACTATTTCGCCATTTATTCCCATGTCTAAATCTCTAGCGGAAACAGTGACAACAAGGGACCCCAGAGGACTGTTTTCCAGGATCTGCACATGGTAGTGTGGCTGCACAAATTCAGGGGTGTTGTCATTGATGTCCAAGACATCAATGAGGACCAGCGCGGTGCCGCTTTTGGGAGGCACTCCCCCATCTACCGCCATGAGAGTTAACCTGAGCTCAGGCTGTTCCTCACGATCTAGGGCTTTGTCCAGAACCAGCTCTGGGTATTTTCTGCCCTCACTGCCATTTCGGGTAAGAACGTGGAAATGGGAGTTGGGGTAGATGGTGTACTTTTGAATGTTATTGATGCCTACATCTAAATCTTGTGCATTTTTTAGGGGAAACAGAGTCCCTGGAAGAGTATTTTCCATTATTTTCAAAGTCATTTCTGCTTCTGGAAACACAGGTGAATTGTCATTTATGTCACTAACCAAAAGCTTAAACCTATATACCTCCAAAGGTTCTTCCAGTAACACCTGGAATTGCAGCATGCAAGGCTCCGTGGGACCACACAGTTCTTCCCGATCCAATTTCTCATTTACTTGTAAATCTCCAGTCTGAAGGTTCAGCTGAAAGTGTTTTTTGTTGTTGTTAAAAATGACCCGAGCCCTCCGCCAAGACAGCATTCCTACCTCTAGCCCTATGTCCTTTGCTAGATTGGCCACAAAAGATCCAGTGGCCGTTTCTTCTACGACACTATAACCTTCATGCTCCGCCCAAGTCTGAGCCAGGAAAACAAAGAGAAGCAGGACTTGCCTTAGTATAGGAAAGCGCTGCTCTTCAGCCTCCATTTCTCCAACGCCAGAAGTCTTTAGGGTCGGGGTTCCTGTTGGGTCTGTAGGCAGTCTGTCCTGGCAGTCTGTCCTTGCTGTAAGGTAATTCCGTTAAGAATCCTCTTCTCTTAGAT